TGACCCAGGACTGAGGCTGTGGACTCAGGACTGAGGCTGTAGACCCAGGACTGAGGCTGTAGACCCAGGACTGAGGCTGTAGACCCAAGACTGAGGCTGTAGACCCAGGTCTGAGGTCAGAGTTCAAGTCTCCATCTGTGATTGGTGCTGCTCTTTTAATCTCAGACTGGTCTAATCCTCTGTGGGCTCCTCCGTCCTGAGGGGTAGCCCTGGTTTAAGTCCTCCTCTGATCCTGGGTCTGATCCTGGGTCTGATCCTGGGTCTGATCCTGGTCCGGACCCTCAGCCTGTTAGCACCGTGACACCAACAGTCACAGACGTCCTTTGTTCAGAACAAACTGAAGCTCATGTTTTTAAGGAACGTGTGTCCAAGGAGAGAAGGTGTGTGGGGGGGGGGGGGGGGGGGGGGGGGGGGGCAGTGAGTCGTGAGTGCAGCAGAATCTACATCACTCCAACATGAACAAATCATTTCATTTTCATCTCTTTATTTATCCATCTCTGGGTCAGGGGGGGTCAAGGGGGGTCAAGGGGGAGGGGTGGCGGGGAAGGGACTGCTTCACAAAGCACCAGTCCCTTGCTGGTCCTCCTGCAGGTGGGGGTCCACGTACGTACTAAAAAAGTATGAACCAAGTGATGTGTGTTATATTCTGGTTCTTCAAAGTAGCACCTTTTGCTCTGATACTGCTTCACTCTTGGCGTTCTCTGGATGAGCTTCAAGAGGACCTGAAATGGTCTGAGTTCCCATGATGCTTAGCACTTGTTGGCCCTTTCGCCTTCACTCTGTGGTCCTGCCCCAAAACCATCTGGACTGGGTTCAGGTCCAAAACCATCTGGACTGGGTTCAGGTCCTGTGACTGTGGAGGTCATGTGGCCCAGCACCATCACTTTCCTTATTGGACAAACAGCCCTCACACAGCCTGGTAATGTAATGAGCCATTCCCTTATTTGGGCGTTAGTTCCGATGGCGTTCACTTCACCTCCTCTTGTTAAACTTGAAATGTTCAGACGACTGTCGTCATGTTACGACTGATCTGTTATTATTATTATTATTATATCCATCCATTTTCTTCCCCTTAATCCACTTCTGGGTCAGGGGGGTGGCAGTCAGAGCTGCACCCAGTTCACAGAAACCAGCCCCATGTTATAATAATATAATAATATAAAATATATATATTATATAATAATATTAATATAATTACATTATAATATCTGGATAGAGTGTTACTGGAGCTGAAACCTGACAGAGAACCTGAAAGAGAACCTGCAGAGAACCTACAGAGAACCTGCAGAGAACCTGACAGAGAACCTGACAGAGAACCTACTGAGAACCTGACAGAGAACCTACTGAGAACCTGACAGAGAACCTACTGAGAACCTGACAGAGAACCTGACAGAGAACCTACTGAGAACCTGACAGAGAACCTACTGAGAACCTGACAGAGAACCTGACAGAGAACCTACAAAGAACCTGACAGAGAACCTGACAGAGAACCTGACAGAGAACCTGACAGAGACACGTGTCGATAGAATGTTCGATAGTTTCACTTCACTCCGTTAGAAAACACAGGAAGTAAAGCCGAGTCAGAAGAGCGCGGCATTCTGGGGGATGTAGGCATAGGCTTCTCGACCTATCACAGACGACTACAAACCGCAAAACTTTCTGGGAAATGCAAAAACGACAACTGCACCATGTGTAGCGTCCATGGATCTAAGATAGTTTTTCAGTGCCGTGTCAATGGTTCTGTGCGGTGCGGCAGAGGCAGTGGACACGCAGACTCGATGCATGCGGCGAAAGCAAGAGATGAACTTTTTCCTCCGTGCGGCGATCAGAGAGTGGCCCCACGGAGCCGTCATGGGGACACAAAACAGGAGATGAACCAGGACTAACTATGGGGGAGACTGCTTGTGAACATTTGCCTCCAGCCTCATTGCCCCGAGACTCTAAACAAGGCTGCTAACATGTGTTAGCCGACACAACAAATGTAATTATTCAGGTAAAAAAAAAAAAATAATAATAATAAATATATATTATCGACCGATATGAATGACTTATATTGTGAGCTCTAGAGCAGCCGCTGCTCCTTCCTGCTCGATTTGTGTAGACTCAACAGAGTCCACAGTCTGCTCTCGGCCCCCCTTCTCTAGCCCCGCCCCTCCTCTAGCCCCGCCCCCTTTGCATCCATGCCCCAACCCCTGGTCCCCAGCTCAGGTTTTAGTCCGGAGCAGAGTCTGCAGAGTCCAGAGTCAGAGGCGAGTCCTGCAGGACCCGCCGCTCTGTTCATCCTTCACTTTATCAACTTTACTTTATCTACTTTACTTTATCTACTTTAGAAAATAAATGTATGAAACCTTTCTGCGTCTTAAGGACGTTACAGAGACAACTTTTGGATTCAATTTTTATTTTTTTCAGTCATTTTTTATTCATTTTTGAGAGATTTTGCGAACGTTAAAATAATATTTTTGTTGAAAAGCGTTTGTTGAAATGTTCTTTAAAAACTTTTGAATCTTTAACTTTTTAGAAACAAATTTTTTTTATTTTATTTTGTGCAAATGGAGGATCTTCAGACATCTCCTCAGAGTCCACCCGGACTCAGCCCCTCAGGTGAGTCCTACTCTGGACCTGCTCTGGTCCTGCTCTGGTCCTGGTCTGGTCCTGGTCTGGTCCTGGTCTGGTCCTGGTCTGGTTCTGGTCTGGTCCTGGTCTTGTCCTGCTCTGGTCCTGGTCCTGGTCCTGGTCTGGTCCTGGTCTGGTCCTGGGCTGGTCCTGGTCCTGGCTCTGCTCTGGTCCTGGTCTGGTCCTGGTCTGGTCCTGTTCTGGTCCTGCTCTGGTTCTGGTCTGGTCCTACTCTGGTCCTGGTCTTATCCTGGTCTGATCCTGGTCTGGTCCTGGTCTGGTCCTGGTCTGGTCCTGGTCTGGTCCTGCTCTAATTGCTTCTTCTCAAGAAAGCAATACAAAAACTACAGAAAAGAGCTCGTAGAGCACAGACCACTGCCAAGAGGACAGTTCATGTCCATGAATATCCAAACTAATCAGTTCTAAAATCAAATACTTTACACAGACTTGGTCCTCACCTGGTCTCTCTGGTCCTCACTTGGTTTCTCTGGTCTCTAGTTTTGGGAACTCTGTGTGGTCTGTGTGGGAAGAATGCAACAGTGGTCTCTCTCTGGTCTCTCTCTGGTCTCTCTCTGGTCTCTCTCTGGTCTCTCTCTGGTCTCTCTCTGGTCTCTCTCTGGTCTCTCTCTGGTCTCTCTCTGGTCTCTCTCTGGTTTCTCTCTGGTTTCTCTCTGGTCTCTCTCTCTGGTCTCTCTCTCTGGTCTCTCTCTCTGGTCTCTCTCTCTGGTCTCTCTCTGGTCTCTCTCTGGTCTCTCTCTCTGGTCTCTTTCTCTGGTCTCTCTCTGGTCTCTCTCTGGTCTCTCTCTGGTATCTCTCTGGCCTCTCTCTGGTCTCTCTCTGGTCTCTCTCTCTGGTCTCTCTCTGGTATCTCTCTGGCCTCTCTCTGGTCTCTCTCTCTGGTATCTCTCTGGTCTCTCTCTGGTCTCTCTCTGGTCTCTCTCTCTGGTCTCTCTCTCTGGTCTCTCTCTCTGGTCTCTCTCTCTGGTCTCTCTTTCTGGTCTTTCTTGTCTCACCTCTCCAGCTTGTCTCTGGTCTCTGGTCCTCCCCTGGTCTCTGGTCCCCACGTGATCTCTAGTCCTCACCTGGTGTGTGGTCTGGTCTTAGGTCCTGGGAAGTCCTTGAGTCCGGTCTTGGTCTGCAGAGTGTGTGGAGACAGCAGCAGCGGGAAACACTACGGGATCTACGCCTGCAACGGCTGCAGCGGCTTCTTCAAACGGAGCGTGCGCCGCAGACTCATCTACAGGTGATGTCACATGTGGACCTAGACCTGGTCTAAGACCCAGACTCATCTACAGGTGATGTCACATGTGGACCTAGACCTGGTCTAAGACCCAGACTCATCTACAGGTGATGTCACATGTGGACCTAGACCTGGTCTAAGACCCAGACTCATCTACAGGTGATGTCACATTTGGACCTAGACCTGGTCTAAGACCCAGACTCATCTACAGGTGATGTCACATTTGGACCTAGACCTGGTCTAAGACCCAGACTCATCTACAGGTGATGTCACATGTGGGCCTAGACCTGGTCTAAGACCCAGACTCACCTACAGGTGATGTCACATGCGGATCTGCTCTGTGGTTTCAGACCCAGGCCTGCTCTGTGGTCTTGCTCTGTGGTCTTGCTCTGTGGTCTTGCTCTGTTGTCTTAGACCTGGTCTCTGCAGGTGTCAGGCTGGGACCGGTCTTTGTCCCGTGGACAAAGCTCACAGGAACCAGTGTCAGGCCTGTCGCCTGAAGAAGTGTCTGCAGGCGGGAATGAACAAAGACGGTATGTGGACCTGGACTGAACCAGGACTAAACCAGGACTAAACCAGGACGTAATTACAGATCTTGCCCCAGTCCCTCCCTCTCTCTCCCAGTCTCCCCCTGGGTCTGGTCTGGTCTGGTCTCATTCTGGTCTGGTCTCACCCTGGTCTGGTCTCACCCTGGTCTGGTTTCCCCCTGGTCTGGTCTCACCCTGGTCTGGTCCCTCCACAGCGGTCCAGAACGAGCGCCAGCCTCGGTCTACGGCTCAGGTCCGCCTGGACTCGTTGGACATGGACCCGGACAAAGAGCACCTGGCCACCACTCGTGAGGTCACTTCCTGTTCCACTTCCTGCTCCTCTTCAGCCACTTCCTCGTCCGTGATCACATGGCCACACATCACTTCCTCCATAAGCTCCTCCTCCCAGCGCAGCCTGACTCCGCCCACAAACCACCGCTTCATGGCGAGTCTGATGACGGCCGAGACCTGCGCCAAACTGGAGCCGGAGGACGGTGAGAACACGCCCCCTGCTGGTCCGTCACAGCGCCCCCTGCTGGTCCCTCACAATCTATGGTTTTTATCATTTATTGATAAAGCGGAATAATAATTTAAAAACTATGGTTAATATTTGAGAGAGTTTGCAGGTTCAGGTTTGCACAGACGCAGGAGGGATTTTGGCCCATTCCTCCACACAGGCTGTCTCATCTGACCACGACACTGAGGCTGAGGCTGAGACTGAGACTGAGGCAGAGACTGAGGCAGAGACTGAGGCAGAGACTGAGGCAGAGACTGAGGCAGAGACTGAAGCAGAGACTGAGGCAGAGACTGAGGCTGAGACTGAGACTGAGGCTGAGGCAGAGACTGAGGCAGAGACTGAGGCTGAGACTGAGACTGAGACTGAGGCTGAGGCAGAGACTGAGGCAGAGACTGAAGCAGAGACTGAGACTGAGGCAGAGACTGAGGCAGAGACTGAGGCAGAGACTGAGGCAGAGACTGAGGCAGAGACTGAAGCAGAGACTGAGACTGAGACTGAGGCAGAGACTGAGGCAGAGACTGAGGCAGAGACTGAGGCAGAGACTGAGACTGAGGCAGAGACTGAAGCAGAGACTGAGACTGAGGCAGAGACTGAAGCAGAGACTGAGGCAGAGACTGAGGCAGAGACTGAGGCAGAGACTGAGACTGAGGCAGAGACTGAGGCAGAGACTGAGGCAGAGACTGAGGCAGAGACTGAGGCAGAGACTGAGGCAGAGACTGAAGCAGAGACTGAGACTGAGGCAGAGACTGAGGCAGAGACTGAGGCAGAGACTGAGACTGAGGCAGAGACTGAAGCAGAGACTGAGACTGAGGCAGAGACTGAAGCAGAGACAGAGACTGAGGCAGAGACTGAGGCTGAGGCAGAGACTGAGGCAGAGACTGAAGCAGAGACAGAGACTGAGGCAGAGACTGAGGCAGAGACTGAGACTGAGGCAGAGACTGAAGCAGAGACTGAGACTGAGACTGAGGCAGAGACTGAAGCAGAGACAGAGACTGAGGCAGAGACTGAGGCAGAGACTGAGGCTGAGGCAGAGACTGAGGCAGAGACTGAAGCAGAGACAGAGACTGAGGCAGAGACTGAGACTGAGGCAGAGACTGAGGCAGAGACTGAGGCAGAGACTGAGGCAGAGACTGAGGCAGAGACTGAGGCAGAGACTGAGGCAGAGACTGAGACTGAGGCAGAGACTGAGGCAGAGACTGAGACTGAGGCAGAGACTGAGGCAGAGACTGAGGCAGAGACTGAGGCAGAGACTGAGGCAGAGACTGAGACTGAGGCAGAGACTGAGGCAGAGACTGAGGCAGAGACTGAGGCAGAGACTGAGGCAGAGACTGAGACTGAGGCAGAGACTGAGGCAGAGACTGAGGCAGAGACTGAGACTGAGGCAGAGACTGAGGCAGAGACTGAGGCTGAGACTGAGGCAGAGACTGAGACTGAGACTGAGGCAGAGACTGAGACTGAGGCAGAGACTGAGGCAGAGACTGAGGCAGAGACTGAGGCAGAGACTGAGACTGAGACTGAGGCAGAGACTGAGGCAGAGACTGAGGCAGAGACTGAGGCAGAGACTGAGGCAGAGACTGAGGCAGAGACTGAGGCAGAGACTGAGGCAGAGACTGAGGCAGAGACTGAGGCAGAGACTGAGACTGAGGCAGAGACTGAGGCAGAGACTGAGACTGAGGCAGAGACTGAGGCAGAGACTGAGGCAGAGACTGAGGCAGAGACTGAGGCAGAGACTGAGACTGAGACTGAGGCTGAGACTGAGACTGAGACTGAGGCAGAGACTGAGACTGAGACTGAGGCAGAGACTGAGGCAGAGACTGAGGCAGAGACTGAGGCAGAGACTGAGGCAGAGACTGAGGCAGAGACTGAGGCAGAGACTGAGGCAGAGACTGAGGCAGAGACTGAGGCTGAGACTGAGGCAGAGACTGAGACTGAGGCAGAGACTGAGGCAGAGACTGAGGCTGAGACTGAGGCTGAGACTGAGGCAGAGACTGAGGCAGAGACTGAGACTGAGGCAGAGACTGAGGCAGAGACTGAGACTGAGGCAGAGACTGAGGCAGAGACTGAGGCAGAGACTGAGGCAGAGACTGAGGCAGAGACTGAGGCAGAGACTGAGGCAGAGACTGAGACTGAGGCAGAGACTGAGGCAGAGACTGAGGCAGAGACTGGAGGCAGAGACTGAGACTGAGGCAGAGACTGAGGCAGAGACTGAGGCAGAGACTGAGGCAGAGACTGAGGCAGAGACTGAGACTGAGGCAGAGACTGAGGCTGAGACTGAGGCAGAGACTGAGACTGAGGCAGAGACTGAGACTGAGGCAGAGACTGAGGCAGAGACTGAGGCAGAGACTGAGGCAGAGACTGAGGCAGAGACTGAGGCAGAGACTGAGACTGAGACTGAGGCAGAGACTGAGGCAGAGACTGAGGCAGAGACTGAGGCAGAGACTGAGGCAGAGACTGAGGCAGAGACTGAGACTGAGGCTGAGGCAGAGACTGAGGCAGAGACTGAGGCAGAGACTGAGGCAGAGACTGAAGCAGAGACTGAGACTGAGGCAGAGACTGAGGCAGAGGCAGAGACTGAGGCAGAGACTGAAGCAGAGACAGAGACTGAGGCAGAGACTGAGGCAGAGACTGAGGCAGAGACTGAAGCAGAGACTGAGACTGAGGCAGAGACTGAAGCAGAGACTGAGGCAGAGACTGAGGCAGAGACTGAGACTGAGGCAGAGACTGAGACTGAGACAGAGACTGAGGCAGAGACTGAAGCAGAGACTGAGACTGAGGCAGAGACTGAAGCAGAGACAGAGACTGAGGCAGAGACAGAGGCAGAGACTGAGGCAGAGACTGAGGCAGAGACTGAGGCAGAGACTGAGACTGAGGCAGAGACTGAAGCAGAGACTGAGACTGAGGCAGAGACTGAAGCAGAGACTGAGACTGAGGCTGAGGCAGAGACTGAAGCAGAGACTGAGACTGAGGCAGAGACTGAAGCAGAGACTGAGACTGAGGCTGAGGCAGAGACTGAAGCAGAGACTGAGACTGAGGCAGAGACTGAAGCAGAGACTGAGACTGAGGCTGAGGCAGAGACTGAGGCAGAGACTGAAGCAGAGACAGAGACTGAGGCAGAGACTGAGGCAGAGACTGAGGCAGAGACTGAGACTGAGACTGGGGCAGAGACTGGGGCAGAGACTGAGGCAGAGACTGAGGCAGAGACTGAGGCAGAGACTGAGGCAGAGACTGAGGCTGAGACTGAGGCTGAGACTGAGGCAGAGACTGAGGCAGAGACTGAGGCAGAGACTGAGACTGAGGCAGAGACTGAGGCAGAGACTGAGGCAGAGACTGAGGCAGAGACTGAGACTGAGGCAGAGACTGAGGCAGAGACTGAGGCAGAGACTGAGGCAGAGACTGAGACTGAGGCAGAGACTGAGGCAGAGACTGAGACTGAGGCAGAGGCTGAGACTGAGGCAGAGACTGAGGCAGCTTTGGTCTGGGACAGTGGGGTAAAGGAGGACGTTTTAAGGTGGACTTTTTAAGGTGGACTGACAGGTCTTTGAGGATCACAGTTTAGACAGACAGGTTTTAAAGGTTTTATGTTGATGTTCTTTGATGTTGATGTCTTGCAGTGGAGGAGAACATAGACGTGACCAGTAACGAGCCGGAGCGCGCCCCGGACTATTCCCTGATGTATCCCTCCGCCTCCGAGAACGTCTACGAGACCTCGGCCCGACTCCTCTTCATGTCCGTCAAGTGGGCCAAGAACCTGCCCGTGTTTTCCGGCCTGCCCTTCAGGGACCAGGTCTGAACCAGGACCGGACCAGGACTGACCAGGTCTGAACCAGGACCGGACCAGGACTAACCAGGACCGGACCAGGACTGACCAGGTCTGAACCAGGACTGGTCCAGGACTGACCAGGACTGAGCCAGGACTGGACCAGGACTGACAAGGACTGAGCCAGGACTGGACCAGGACTAGAGAGACCAGGACTGAGCCAGGACCACACCAGGACTGAGCCAGGACTGAGCCAGGACCGGACTAGGACTACAGAGACCAGGACTGAGCCAGGACCGGACCAGGACTACAGAGACCAGGACTGAGCCAGGACCAGACCAGGACTGAGCCAGGACTGAGCCAGGACTGAGCCAGGACTGACCACAGTCTAACTCTGGTCTAACCCAGTCTAACCCAGTCCAACCCGGTCTAACCCGTTCTAACCCGGTCTAACCCAGTCTAACCCAGTCTAACCCAGTCCAACCCGGTCTAACCCGGTCTGCAGGTGATCTTGCTAGAGGAGGCGTGGAGCGAGCTCTTCTTGCTCTGTGCGGTGCAGTGGTCTCTGCCTCTGGACTCCTGCCCCCTGCTGGCGGTCCCGGAGCTGTGCGGGTCCACCCAGACCAAGACCTTCAGTTCTCTGGACCTGCGCCTCCTGCAGGAGGTCTACGCTCGCTTCAAGGCCCTGAGCACGGACCCCACGGAGTTCGCCTGCCTCAAGGCCACCGTACTCTTCAAGCCAGGTCAGACCCAGGTCAGACCCAGGCCAGACCCAGGCCAGACCCAGGGCCACTGTAGCTACAGCTGCCCCAGGTCAGACAGAGGGAACTGTGCACCAGACCAGAGACGGGACTGACCAGAGACCAGGACTGAACTGGTCCTTAAGCAAGACACTGCAGCCAAGTTGTGTGTCTGTGTGTGTTGTGTGTATCTGTGTATGTGTGTGTCTGTATGTGTGTATATGTTGTGTGTGTTTCTGTAAATAAACATTACTTACTTAGAGATGAGTCACCTTTATTGTCTGTGCAGAGACCCGGGGTCTGAAGGACCCGGAGCAGGTGGAGAACCTCCAGGACCAGTCCCAGGTCATGTTGGGGCAACACACACGCTCCCACTACCCCTCACAGCCAGCCAGGTACACTGCTTTATTATTCATTCATTCATTCATTTTCTACCCCTTTATTAGTCCATTTCTGGGTCGGGGGGTGACAATCAGCTGCCCAAGTCTCACAGCACCAGTCCCTCTGATCCTTCCACAGGAAGATGGCTAAGCTAAACTAAACTAAAGCCTTGCTTTATTATATAATAATAATAATTATTATAATAATTATATTATTATTATTATCATTATTACTATAATCATTATTATGGATGTTTATTGAAGACACAGGTCACATGCAGCTCCTCACAGTGTCCACAGGGGGCAGTGTATGATCTGTGAGGTTTATGAAGCCATAGCCCTGTTTCCACCAACCCCTGCTCAACTCTATATTACTGATGTATTAAAGAGACAGTACATGTTAATAAACATTAAACATGTGAATGTGCTTCTGCTAACGCTAACATGTTAGCATTAGCTAACATTTTAGCTTCTGCTTGTTATTTATGTAGTTTATTTGGTTGGGACAGTACATGTTGATAAACATGTGCTTAACTCTATATTACTGATGTATTACAGGGACAGCACATGAACACATCACTCCAGTACCATCCGTCGCCCCACATTCACACTCACATTCATTCACCCTATTGCACTATTGCACAAACCTACGCAGACACAGGGAGAACATGCAAACTCCACTGCACTGTGTTCGGCACGGTGGCTGAGTGGATAGCACTCTCACCTCTCAGAAAAAAGGTTCTGGGTTTGAATCCCAGTCGGAACAGGTCCTATCTGAGTGGTCCTGTCGGAATTAGCATTAGCTAACCTATTAGCATTTACTAACCTGTTAGCATTAGCATCAGCTAATCTGTTAGCATTAGCATCAGCTAACCTGTTAGCATTAGCATCAGCTAATCTGTTAGCATTAGCATCAGCTAATCTGTTAGCATTAGCATCAGCTAACCTGTTAGCATTAGCATCAGCTAATCTGTTAGCATTAGCATCAGCTAATCTGTTAGCATTAGCATCAGCTAATCTGTTAGCATTAGCATTAGCTAACATGTTTGTATGTTACAGATTTGGGAAACTGCTGCTGCTGCTTCCGTCTCTTCGCTTCGTCGGCTCTGAACGGATCGAGCTTCTTTTCTTTCATCGAACCATCGGCAACACTCCCATGGAGAAGCTGCTGTGTGACATGTTCAAGAACTAGGAGCACAGGAAACACTCCCATGGAGAAGCTGCTGTGTGACATCTTCAAGAAGAACTAGGAGCACAGGGACCACAGGGACATGAGCACAGGGACCAGGACCACAGGGACAGGAGCACAGGGGCAGGAGCAAAGGGACCAGGACCACAGGGACAGGAGCAGAGGGACCACAGGGACCAGGACCACAAGGACAGGAGCAGAGGGACCACAGGGACAGGAGCACAGGGACCAGGAGCAGACTCTAAACGTTTCTGAAACATATATTTGTTCAATGCAGTTTTGTCTCATTTCTTCGTCTCAAACCTTTTTAGTTTTGTTGAAATGTGTGTTTTTAAAGAATAAAGATGAAAGTCTGTAGTTTTTTCTGCTTTTACTCATTTCCACTGAACTAAAATGTTTAGAACCTCTTTAATAATATTAACGATACATTCACAGGGTCTTCATCTCAGGAGAAAACGTGAAAGATACCTGATAGCTGATTGGCTGAGAGCTGATTGGCTGAGAGCTGATTGGCTGAGAGCTGATTGGCTGAGAGCTGATTGGCTGAGAGACGGAGGGTCCTCTGTTAAAGCTGATGTATAAAGAAAAGAGAAAACACAAAGTTGAGAATCAAGTTTATTTCTGACTTTTGCACAGATCTGAAAATATCATTCTCCAGATTCCACATAAATAATTTTCTTTTCTCCTTATTTACAAACCTCAGATCATTTACATCTCACATATTTACATTCAGAACCGCTGCGTCGCCCCCTGCAGGACACCAGAGGGAGTCATGAGAACTCAAGATGGCCGACCATAACAGAAGCCCCGCCCCCTTCAGTCCCGTTCATGGATAATGGCGTCTTCGTACGGAGGCGGCTCTGAGTTTATTTACGATAGTTTTGATCTGAGAGAAATCACATTCTGTTTCTGTCAACATCAAACAGTGCGTCTGCTTTTAAGTCACGCCGTGTAAAAAATAACACATTTAAACTTTAATGAGGCGATACTTTCAAAAGGCAGATTGTGATGTCACATTGTGAGGAGGCCAAGTATCTCTGGGCGTCTCTGCTCAGGTGCTGCCCTCGCCACCCGGCAACGGATAAAGCGGAAGTTAATGAAAGGATGGATCTGAAACCAAGACCGGGTCTGAGGTCAGGACCAGTGCAACACGGAGGGACTCGACCCAAAACCAGACGTCACAAACCTTTCATTCAACTCCAGAAGCACATTTATAACGACGGCTTCAGACTCTCTCCTGGTTCACCATGAACCATGAACCAAGAACCATGGACCAAGAACCATGAACCATGGACCATGGACCAAGAACCATGAACCATGGACCATGGACCATGAACCATGAACCAAGAACCATGAACCATAAATGCATAGATTGAGCTCAGCATCAGATTCTCATGTGCAAAATTCAGGCAACAGAAAAACACACTTTACAAGATTTAGATAAAGTCAGTTTAGTGTCATCGTTGGAACTGTCTGTGGTTCTGTCGGTGCACACAGAGTACCTTTTTTTGCAAATGTATTCCAATGTAGTTTTTATACTGCACATGGCCAATAAATGAATCTGAATCTGGGTTCTTTAGAATCAGAAACATCACTTTTTAATAAATAATAATATTTAGAATCAGAAACATCACTTTACTTTAGTTTGTTATAAATAATAATGTAATGTGGAGAAGTCAGACCACAAAGTGCCGTCTTAGAAACAGAAATATCCTTTGGGCTGAGGATAAAACAAACTATTGTGGATTGTAAGGTGTTTTAAAGTCACGTACCGCAGCTTTAAACAAACAGATTTTCTATTGAAAACATGAAACCAAAGTGAGAATCTGTTTGACGACGTAGAGTCTGGTCTGCTCTGGGTGCAGCTCCGTCTGCCTCCTCTAGAGGGCCCCGCTGAGCAGCAGCAGCAGCAGCAGGTGCAGTGACAGCAGGTAGAGCATAAAGACGTACGGAGCTCGGGTTCGAGATCGCAGCAACGACGAGAAATACAGACTTCTACCTCTGAGCCAACGGGCACAAGAGAGAGCGGAACCACGGACCTGCAGGAGAGAGACCAGGGAGAGAGACCAGAGAGAGAGACACCAGGGAGAGAGACCAGATAGAGAGACCAGAGAGAGAGACCAGAGAGAGAGACCAGAGAGAGAGACCAGAGAGAGAGACCAGAGAGAGAGACCAGGGAGAGAGACCAGAGAGAGAGACCAGAGAGAGAGACCAGAGAGAGAGACCAGAGAGAGAGACCAGGGAGAGAGACCAGAGAGAGAGACCAGAGAGAGACCAGGGAGAGAGACCAGGGAGAGAGACCAGGAAGAGAGACCAGAGAGAGAGACCAGAGAGAGAGACCAGAGAGAAAGACCCGAGAGAGAGAGAACAGAGAGAGAGACCAGAGAGAGAGACCAGAGAGAAAGACCCGAGAGAGAGAGAGAGAGAGAGAGACACCACAGAACATATTGAATCACAGTTTTGTAAATGACAGGACCTTTGTCTCTAGTAAGTAACAAAGTAATGGCAGAGTGGTTAGCATGTTCTCCCCATGTCTGTGTAGATTTCCTCCAGGTGCTCCGGTTTCCCCTACCATTAAAATAATGTACCATAGGTCTGACAGCGCCCCCTTTATGCGCCTGCTCCATCTCAGTGTTTTTGTCGTTCAGATGTGTCCGTTCTGGTCCAACACCATCCTCTCACTATATTCAGACTCTACATGGTATTAAAGCAGAGAAACCTACACAGACACAGGGAGAACATGCAAACTACACTCAGACAGACACAGGGAGAACATACAAACTGCACTCAGACACAGGGAGAACATGCAAACTGCACTCAGACAGACGCAGGGAGAACATGCAAACTACACTCAAGACAGACACAGGGAGAACATGCAAACTGCACTCAGACAGACGCAGGGAGAACATGCAAACTACACTAAAGACAGACACAGGGAGAACATGCAAACTGCACTCAGACACAGGGAGAACATGCAAACTGCACTCAGACGCAGGGAGAACATGCAAACTGCACTCAGACAGACACAGGGAGAACATGCAAACTGCACTCAGACAGACGCAGGGAGAACATGCAAACTGCACTCAGACGCAGGGAGAACATGCAAACTTCACTCAGACAGACACAGGGAGACATGCAAACTGCACTCAGACAAACGCAGGGAGAACATGCAAACTGCACTCAGACAGACGCAGGGAGAACATGCAAACTGCACTCAGACGCAGGGAGAACATGCAAACTTCACTCAGACAGACACAGGGAGACATGCAAACTGCACTCAGACAAACGCAGGGAGAACATGCAAACTGCACTCAGACAGACGCAGGGAGAACATGCAAACTGCATCTCAGACAAACGCAGGGAGAACATGCAAACTGCATCTCAGACAGACGCAGGGAGAACATGCAAACTGCATCTCAGACAGACGCAGGGAGAACATGCAAACTGCATCTCAGACAGACGCAGGAAGAACATGCAAACTGCATCTCAGACAGACGCAGGGAGAACATGCAAACTGCATCTCAGACAGACGCAGGGAGAACATGCAAACTGCATCTCAGACAGACGCAGGGAGAACATGCAAACTGCATCTCAGACAGACGCAGGGAGAACATGCAAACTGCATCTCAGACAGACGCAGGGAGAACATGCAAACCTTGCGGGTGAGCAGAGGCTGAGTGGGGTCCAGGCTCACTGCGTCCCACTCGTCGTCTGGATCCACGTCAATGCTGAAATCTCTGGGACCGGACTGAAGCCTGGACAAAGGAGGAACCATGTGAGGAACCATGTGAGAAACCATGGGAGGAATCATGAGAGGAACCATGGGATGAACCATGTGAGGAACCATGGGAGGAACCATGGGATGAACCATGTGAGGAACCATGTGAGGAACCATGGGAGGAACCATGGGATGAACCATGTGAGGAACCATGGGAGGAACCATGGGAGGAACCATGGGAGGAATCATGAGAGGAACCATGGGAGAGACCAAGAGTGGAATCATGGGAGAGACCAAGAGTGGAACCATGATAGGAACCATGAGTGGAGCCATGGGAGGAATCATGAGAAGGACCATGTGAGGAACCATGGGAGTCACTATGTGCCTCTTTGGGCTTGATCCTGGTTCAGTTTTGAGTGCTTTATGTTTGTGTTAAAGTCATGTCATGTGGACTCTGGTCTCTCTCTCTGGTCTCTCTCTCTGGTCTCTCTCTCTGGTCTCTCTCTCTGGTCTCTCTCTCTGGTCTCTCTCTCTGGTCTCTCTCTCTGGTCTCTCTCTCTGGTCTCTCTCTGGTCTCTCTCTGGTCTCTCTCTGGTCTCTCTCTGGTCTCTCTCTGGTCTCTCTCTGGTCTCTCTCTGGTCTCTCTCTGGTCTCTCTCTGGTCTCTCTCTGGTCTCTCTCTGGTCTCTCTCTGGTCTCTCTCTGGTCTCTCTCTGGTCTCTCTCTGGTCTCTCTCTGGTCTCTCTCTGGTCTCTCTCTGGTCTATCTCTGGTCTATCTCTGGTCTATCTCTGGTCTATCTCTGGTCTATCTCTGGTCTATCTCTGGTCTCCTCACTTCTTGTACTGATAGTTTGCCTATGAGCACTTCCCTATTATGCCGTGTGTGTGTGTGTGTGTGTGTGTGTGTGTGTGTGTGCGTGCGTGTGTGCGTGTGCATGTCTGTGTGTGTGTGTGTGTGTGTGTGTGCGTGCGTGTGCATGTCTGTGTGTGCGTGTGTGTCCTTACAGTTTCTCCTCTGCTGCTTCTCGTCTCATTCTCTCCTCACACAGACTCTGCTCCAGCTCCTGCAGCCTGAAGGTAACACAACATCACTACACACACGGAAGGCAACACAACATCACGACAGACAGACAGACAGACACACACACCTCTCTGACAGCTGTATAGACTCCTCTCTGCTCCTGTCTTGTGGAGCTCCAGGGGCCTCCTCAGGGTAGAGCGCCCCCTGCTGCTGACGGAGAGAGGTGTCCTGCTCCAACTGCTGCAGCTGCAACACATACCAGGGAAATAAACCCTCTCTCTGGTCTCTCTCTGGTCTCTCTCTGGTCTCTCTCTGGTCTCTCTCTGGTCTCTCTCTGGTCTCTCTCTGGTCTCTCTCTGGTCTCTCTCTAGTCTCACCTTGAAGACCAGCTGGTGGATGTACTGGTCTCGTCGCTGGATCTCGAACACACACTGCTGTAAGTCCTGATGCAGACGAGCTCGTTCTGTCTCCAGGAAACTCACATCCACCTGTAAGCACACACATTCAGGAGAGAGACCAGAGAGAGAGACCAGAGAGAGAGACCAGAAAGAGACCAGAGAGAGAGACCAGAGAGGGACCAGAAAGAGACCAGAGAGAGACCACCAGCGAGAGAGACCAGAGAGAGAAAAGAGAGAGACCAGAGAGAGAGAGACCAGAGAGAAACCAGAGAGGGGGACCAGAAAGAGAGACCAGAGAGAGAGACCAGAGAGAGAGACCAGAAAGAGACCAGAAAGAGATCAGAGAGAGAGAGCAGAGAGAGAGACCAGAGAGAGGGACCAGAGAGAGAGACTAGAGAGAGAGACTAGAGAGAGAGACTAGAGAGAGACCAGAGAGAGACCAGAGAGAGAGAACAGAAAGAGACCAGACAGAGACCAGAGAGAGACCAGAGAGAGAGACCAGAGAGAGAGACCAGAGAGAGAGACCAGAGAGAGACCAGAGAGAGAGACCAGAGAGAGAGACCAGAGAGAGAGACCAGAGAGAGACCAGAGAGAAACCAGAGAGACCACACAAGGGTCTGAGTCTTACCGTGTTCGGTGGAGACAGGTCCAGGTTCTTCTGCTCTGACCTGAGACGACAGAAGATAAACTTTACTTAAAAGTCTGTGCAGGAGATATTTACGGACGATATAAAAGCAATAGCAGCTTAAAGTGACTTATTGTACAGTCTGACAGCGGTCTATGGTCAGACTCCACACAAACACAAAATAAAACCATGTGACTAGTTCTTCATAGTTTCCTGTATTTTTAACCAGCTTTTTACGATAGAAACAAAGAGCACCTTACACAGCTCTCAGGACAACTCACCCTCAAATCCACTTTTTTTTGCTGATAAACGGTATAAATGAGTGTCCAATAGTGTTGTCTACATATCCTGGTCATAATTTTGTCACTTTGGCGCAAATTAGTTGAAAGTTAAACTTTCTGCCTAAAACCGTCTGTGAGGCGCCATCTGCTGGCGACCTGTATTACTACATTTGAATTTTGAATCTGGCGCCAACACTGGCGTGGCAGCAAGACCTGACGTCAGCAGCCCCCCGCCCAGAGCAATGTAAACGGCCCAGTCTCGTTCACGCCCCCTTTAGTCCTCCAGGCTACGCCCATTTAGAGGAAGATTTGAACAGGAAATGTGAGTGACGTAAGCTCCGAGGAGCGGGGGTGAGAACCACTTTAAAGATCTATTAAAATATATCACTGATGATAAAATGTTAGGTCCCCGAGCTTTAAGTTCATACAGGACTGTAAATAACTGTGGGATAATTACCTCAAAGGAGTCATTTCCTCTCGAGAAATGTGGACTCCCAGCTCTGCATCATTTATCTGATGTTTGACTCCCTGAAAGGAAACAAAAGGACATTTAGTTTCACATAATAATAATAATAATAATAAAAATAAACTAATGTCATTCTATTAAACCAGAGCAGCCATTGAACATGCTCAGAGCAGACTCAAACTGTGGAAATGAAGCAGCTTTGGAAAAACAAAATCATGCCCAAAAAAACACAAAGGAAAACCACAGCAACTGAAATCTAAACTGAAATGAAATCTGTTCAAACTGAAATGAAATCTCTTCAAACTGAAATGAAATCTCTTCAAATGCAACAAGAACCAACCAAAAACACCAACACAAGCCACAAAAACCATCCATGCACCAGAGGAGACCCGGCCAACCACAACTGCTGCCACCGATGCTAATGCTAATGCTAACACAGCAAATGTGTGATGCTCGAGGATGAAGCAGAGACAGTTAGACCACAATATTATTGTGATGGTTTTGGGACTGTTTTAAAACATTTGTTATGAGAAATACTTCATATAAATGACTTTTACTATGTTGTTCTGGACACAAATGACTTATGGTGAAGTAAATAGTATTATCAAAATACTAATACATTGGCGAATTGTACTTCCCCATGGTGTGAAAAAAGAAATGAATTAAAATCTTGAGTGTTGTGTTTATAGATAAAGTAGCAGTGGTGGTAGTTCGGTGTCTTTATCTAGAAGACCCTCTTTGTGATTGGTTGACCGGGCCACAGATCCCACCTCGGAAACTGAACACTTACCAGCTCCTTGCTTTCCAGCTGTAACTCCCTCCTTTGGTCTGGGGGGGGCGCCACCTTCTGTCTAGCCCCGGAGAGCTCTTCCATCAGCTGGTCACGATCGTTCTGAAGGCTGGCCATGGACTTGGAAAACGCAGACAACTGGCGAAGGTGCGATTCGTTCTCCAGTCGGACTCGTGTGACTTCTCCCTCTTTGTCGGACAGTGCTTTTCCGAGCTCATCCACCAATCGGCTCATCTCGTTCTGGTCTTTTCCCTCCAGCGCTTTGAGTTTGTGCGCAAGGACGTCTCTGCGTTTTGCTAAAGCCGCCGACTCCGAGGTTGAATCTGTAAATTTGCGTTCCATCTTCTTGAGGCTGGTCTGCGACTCTCTCAGCTCTTCTTCGTAGCGGGTTCTTAAGACCTTGAAGTCTTCAATGAGTCGGTCTCGGTCGTTTTGTAGCGCAGCCATTGCTTTGCACAGGCTTTCATTTTTCTCTTTGAAGTCTTTGCTTTCATTTTTTGCTTCTGAAAGTTGTTGTTGCAAATCCAGTGATTCCTTTTCCAGTTCGGCCGCCCTTTGGTCCCAGGTTTCCTTCTCATTTCGCATCAAAATCACTTCGCGTTCAAAGTTATCCAGTTCGCTGTTGTACTTATCTTCAGCTTCCGCTAACTTTGCGTCAGTCTCGTTCTCAATATTTGTACATTTCCTTCTTAATTCCTCTGAGGAGTTTTTCTCCGTTATAAGTTTGAGTTGGAGGTCACTGCACTCGGCTGCTTTTGCCACGACCGCATTCTGCAAATCAAAAATCACTTTCCCTTCGTTTGTCGTCGTAATCTCTTTTCGATCTTGCTCCAATCTCAAAATCTGACTTTTTAATTTGGAGATTTCCTCATTCAAAGTTTCATTCACTTCCTGCTTCTTTTCCAAATCCAACCGTGCATTTCTCACTTTCTTTTCAGACGCCATCTTGTCATTTTCCAGCGTTTTTATCGTCTCTTGCTGTTTTTTTAGTAGAATTTTCAACTGGTTGTCTTTTAAGGAGAGGACTTGGTTCAGGTCTTCTCTGTATCGGACGAGCTGTGCCCTCAGCATCGCATTTTCAGAATTCAAGTCGTCCATTTGATGCAGAAGTTTACGGATTTCGTGCTTCAAACCTTTGGCTGCTCCTTCTCCAGTCTCTTCCGATAAACCCGCCTGACTTTTGGCTTCAAGAACTTTATAGTCCGACATTAACTTCTCCCGTTCGTTTTGCAAAGACACCAGTGAGTTTTTGAAGGACTCCATCTTGCCCATCATGACATTTTTCTCCTGGACCGCTTTGCCCACTTGGATCTGCAGACTTTTTACTTTGGCCTCAAGAGATCTTATTTCTTTGGTGGATTTCTCCCTTTGATAGCGCGCAGATGTTAGCCTATCCTCGTACACAGACATTTGCGATTGGTAGTTAGCTTGGATTTGTTCGAGATACCCAGACATCTGCCCATCTTTGCAAGACAGCAGAGAGGAGATTTCAGAGTTTTTGCTTTGAAGAATGCTTTTCAGTTGCCGAGAAATACCTTCTTGTTTGTCAAACTCTGCATGAAACTGGTCATTCTGAGCCTGCAGTGAGTTCAGCTGTGCTTCCGAGTCACTGTAGAGTTTCTCTATTTGGTCCAGTTTCAGCTGTACTTGAGAAATGGCATCTTCCTTATCCACAGCCTGTTTGTTCAGCGTGTTCCGGTCCCGCTCCAGTCTTTCCACTTGTGCCGTTAGCTCGCTTACCTGCCTCGTTAGCATCTCCTGCACGTCATTGAGCTCCGCATTGCTCGCACTCATTACAAACAGCTGCCGTTGATGCGCCGCGGCCGCCACAGAATATTCATTTATAGTTCTCTCCAGTTTGGTTTTGGTCACTCGCAACTCGTTCAGCTCTTGGTCCTTCATCCGCATCTCTTCCAGGAATCGTTTTATGGCAGACCCTTGTTCGAGAAGCTGATTGTCCTTTTCGCCGAGTGCTTTTTGATACGAATCTTCCCAGACTTTAGCAGCGTCTCCGCCTCGTGCTGAAGAAACCAACGCTGTCAGCTTTACCTCTTTGGTCTCTGCCTCTCGTTTCAAAGTCTTCATCTGCAGCTCCTGCGTGTCCACTTTCCGCTGCAGCTCCATGAGTTTGTGGCTTTCTCCGTCGCTGAACATTTTGAGATCTTGGATTTGCTGCAGCAACACATTCTTCTCCACAAACAACTCTACTTCTTCCATATTTTTTGACATCTTTTCCTGCTCTCTTCGTTTGCTTTGCTCCAGCTCAGCCACCAACTGACTGCGCTCGGATTGGAATTCTGCAATCTTGTCTATTGCCTCGTTCAAAAGACTTTTACTTGATGTTAACTCACTTTGAAGCTGATCCAGCCGTTTCTCCAAGACAGACTTTTGCTCCAGATGCAGCTGAAGCTCTTTGTTGGATTTCTCACTCTGCAGTTGAGATGTTTTTAGCTGTCGTTCCAAGTCCAGTGCGACCTCTTGATACCTGATGCAGTTCTGTTGCAGTATATTTATCTCCTGATGTTTGTCTTTAAGCAACTCCTGCAGCTCTTTCTTGACGTTTTTCGAACCTTCGTTGCCTCGTTGCATCTTCCTGAGTTTGTCTTCAAACTCCTTCACCAGCTTGATCTGCTCTTGCTCCTTCTCTTGCCTGATTTTGTTGCTCATTTCCTTGAGTGACGTCAGCTGGGAAGACAACTGTGCACTTTGGCTTTGCATGGTGCTGATGGACTCCGTCAGCTCGTCAATCTTCTCAGAGTTCTTAAGAATCACGGTCTCCAAGTACTCGTTTTCATTCTTGACTTTATCAGACGTTTCTTGAGAGTTTTCCAGTTCCTCTTGCAGCAGACATTTGTCGTCTTCCAGAATCCGAACCTTCTCATTCAAACTGATGGTTTCTCTCGCGTTTCGAGCAATGCATTCGTTCAATTGTTTAATGGTTTCCTCCCTGTTGGACAGTTCCAAATCGTGCTCATTTTGTATTTTCTCATATTTTTCACATAAATTAAGCTTCTCGTTTTGAAGCATTTGGTTGATTTCCATGAGGGCGCCAAGCTCAGTCTTTTGGGCTTCGATTCGCACCATGAGGGAATTGTTCAAACTAAGCGCTTCGTCTAATTTGTTTTGCATTCTTTCAGCGTTGGATTTCCCGGTTTTTTCGGAAGTTTTGTTTACTTGGTTGATGTTTTCAACCCAACCCAGTTTTTCAACCTCCAACACTTCCACTTGTCTCTTAAAATCATCAATCAATCCTAACAATCTTGAGTTTTCATCTTCCAACTGTCCAATTCTTTCACTCTCCTCTTCCAGTTCTGTCGTTTTACTGTTTCTATCAGCAGAAAACCTGGTCATCCCATCTCTTAGCTTTTCATTTTGAACTTCCAAGTCCCTCAACTGCTTTTCCAAGTTTTCCAAATCCATTTCGAGCTTGTGATTTTTCCTCACTGCTTCTTGCCGGTCTCGTTTCGCTCCTTCCAACAGCAGCCTCATCTTGTCCATTTCGCTGCTCACGTTTTCATAGGCCTGCAGCAGAGACTCGTATTCTTGCTTCAGCTCGTCATGCTTGCCTTTCCATCTCGTCAGCTCCTCCGTTTCAGAATCTTTCAGCGCCTCCAGTTGGTAAGAAAACGCCTGCTTCTGGTGTGTGATGTTCTCGATGGTTTGTTTCAGACTTTCACAAGCAGCAGATAAACTACGATTTTCCAGAAGAATGGACTCAGACTGAGATTTCAAACGGTCTTTTTCCTGGATTAGAACCTCAAGAGAACTTTTCAAATCAGAGTGCTGTTGCTTTAAGGTCATATTTGACAATTCCAGGTCTTGACAATCCGCCTCCTTTGCGTCATACTTTGTTGATATTATTTGCAAATCCTCCTTAAACTTAGCATTGTCCTTCAAAAGCTCTTTCCGTGACAACAAAGCAGCTTGCAGTTTCTTGGTTAGCTGGACAATCTTGCTTTCCAAGCTTTTGATTTTTGAAGTGCTTTCATTGGACGTTTGCACTTCCATCTTTTCAATTTTCGACTTATCAACTGCAGCGTCGCACATTTTAACCTGCTGCTCCAACTGTGCTTCAAGTGTGGCTATGAAGTCCTTCTTTTCAGAAAGTTGAACTTGGTTTTCCAAAATGGCTGCTTCCTTCTTCTTCAACTGGTCCTGGAATTCCAAAATGGCTGCATCCTTCTTCTTCAACTGATCCTGGAATTCCAAAATGGCTAAATCCTTCTTCTTCAACTGGTCCTGGAATTCCAAAATGGCTGCCTGTTTCTCCTTCAACTGGTCTATAAGCTCAGTAGTTTGTATTTGGGATTCACTCATCCGCATGATCTCCTCTTTAAATTGGTCGACTGATCCCGTTAACTTTTTTTTCTCCTTTCTTGTCAGTTCTAAATCCCACGAGAGTTCCGCACACTTATGACTCGTTTCCTCAAGTTTGGTCATTATACTGTTTTTGTCGTCTTGCATTTCTTCTAAGGATTTGGTGATTTCGACTATTTCCATGGATTTTTGTGCAATAACTTTGTCTAAGTTTGCCTTTTCAACCGCACTTTGTTTTTCTGTCTCTAACAACTGTGTCTTGAGCAATGCCACCTCTTTGCTATATTCCTCAACCATCTCCAAACCTTTTTCCTTTTCTTGCTTTAAGATTTCAAACGTCCTTTGCATTTGTTCACATTGTTGCTGTGCCAGTTCCAACTCCGTACATAAACCATCTTTGTCCTTCTGTAGTTGCTGCATCTCCTCTAGTTTGTTTTGCATTGTTAAAACGTCTGTGGATTTCTCTGCTGCTCGTCCAAGTGCCGTCTCTAACTCCACTTTTAGCGCTTCATTTCTCTCCAAACTAATTTTGATTTCCTCGTTCAAAACTTCAGCTTCCATCAGATGCTGTCGCTGTAAAGTTTCCAGTTTCTCTTCAATAATCTTTACATTGTCTGTGTGTTTTTGAGCTTCCATCAGCTCCGAGCTAGTTTGTTTTAGCCTTGATTCTAGTTCATCCACCTGCCCTTTCAAAGCAACAAGATCCTCATCCTTTCTGGCCACTTCCAATGACAGACGATCCAAGTCCCTTTGTGCACTTGAGAGACAACGAGTGTCTCTTTCCTCTACTTCCTGCTTTGACAGTTCCAGCTCCTTCCTGTAGGACATAGACTCATCACTAACCTTCGCTTTGAGCTGATCCAGTCCACTTTGTAAAGAGCTGCATTGTCCATCTTTTTCAGCGAGAGACCGTTTGAGATTGGCCAGGCTTCTCTCCTTCTCTTGCACGTCCTGCTTTAGTACTTCCATCTCATTGGAATAAGCCTGATCAAGTTTATCCCTGAGCATCACCATCTCACTTTTCTCACGGGACAGAGTTTGGTGTTGTAATTTCAACTCTGTTACGGTGCGATCTTTCTCTTCGACTTGTTGCTTGATGGTTTCCAGTTCTTTCCACACATGTTGTAACTGGTTTTCCTTCTCCAGTGCAAGCAGCTGCCTCGTCTCAGCCAGTCCCTTTAATTCTTCAACTTCAGCTTCCAAACTGTCTTTTTCTGCCTTCAGGTGCTCGCTTTGCAGAGTAAGTTTAGCTAAATGCTTTTTCAACTCTGCTAGTTCCTGAACAAGTTTGTTTTCAGTGTCTTGGGATTTCTTCATGGTTTCTTTGCGTGCCAACATGGCGGCTTTGGCTTTCTTTTGGAGTGTGACATTCTCCTTCTTCAACAAGGCGACTTCGCTCTCGAACTCAGCGACGGAGGAGGAGGGGGCGGACGCACTCTCCTTCTCTGCCTTTATCTCATTCTCAACGCCTTCAAGTTTTTGCAGTAGCTCACTCTTTTCTTGCTGTAATAAAGCCATATTTTCTTGAAATTGCTTAATATCAGTATCTTTTTCATTCAGCTTTTGAACCGCGTCAAGGACAATCACTTCTTTGTCATCTATCATGGTCTTCAAACTAGTATTTTCTGCCTCAAGTCTGACAATTTCCATGTTTAAGCTGCTTTTCTCCTGTTCGTAATCTTTCTTCTTTTCCATGAGCTGAGTTTGTAGCAGCTGAAGAGAGGATTCCTTTTCAGACAGACACAAATCTGTATCAATTATTGCAGCTTTCAAAGTCTGAATTTCCAGCTCAAATCCATTTAATTTAGCTTTGCATTCTTCAACTTCCAAGTCTTTTTCAGTACAGGTTTTCTGTCCATGTTCCACCTCCTTTTCCAAGTCCTGCACCCGCTCATTCAACTGTGACAACTGGCTTTTATAACTGACCATTTCTTCATTTTCATAAATCTCCATTTTCTTCAGAAGCTCTTTTCTCACAACCAACGACGCTTGCAATTTCTTCTTGATCACGTCTTTTTCTTTGACCGATTTTGTCAGTTCTGTTTTCATCTCTTCAATCTCTCTCCTGGCCTCCACATCTGCAGCCTGGACTTCACTTTGGTGCTTTTCCATGACAGTTTTAAGTTCTTTTTGCAGTGTTTCAACTCGCTCCTTCAGATCAGTGATGGTGTCTGTGGATTTAACCCTTTCGTTGGCAGCAGCCTCAATTACCTGCGCCACAGACGAGTCTTTCTCCTTCAGTTGGATGCTGAGCGCTGAGAGAAGCTCCTTTTGCTGAACGATCTGGACATCCATGCAGCTTATATGCTCTTCTTTGGCTTGTACGTCGCAATACAAACTTGCATATTTCTCTGCTGCCGTTTGGACCTTATCAGCTTCTGCATCGAGTCGGGTCTGGACCTGATTCAAAGCCTCCTGCAGTGAAGAGATTTGCTGACACTTCTCAAAATCGCCCTTTTCAACAACGTTTTCCATCGTTTTAAACTTAGAAACCGCATCATCCAAGCTATTCTTTAACCCATCTATTTCACACTTGTAACTTTGCTCCAGGTCTTTAACCAGTCCAAGTAAATACAGAGTTTTATCATTGGGATCTTCCGCTTGGTCCGTTCTGCCAGTTAAAGTCCGCAGCTCACTTTCCACAGCATCAAAACTCTGCTGCAAACGATTATTAACGGCCTCTTTCTCTCTTATCAAAGCCAACACATTCTCTAGCTGATGTTTAGACATGGACGCCTCTTGTTCTTTGACCAACAGCTGCTCTGACCCACGACTCACCGCTAACACCGCCGCCGCTAGCTTCTCTTGTAAGTTATCCAGATCCTCTTTCAGCACGGTAACTTTCACATCTTTACATTTAATCTCATTTTCAACACTTTGCAACCGTTCCGATATCACTCTCTTCTCCTGCTGTTCTTTGTCTAAAACCAGCAGCCACTCTTTCTCAGAATCCTGCAGAATCTGCTCTAGCTTCACAACCTTCTCCTTCAACAGTGACATGTCGTGGTTTTGTTCACTGACCTTGGTTTGCAGGATGCCGTTCTCTGCCGTCAGCGTTTCCATCGCGAGGCCAGACTCCTGCTCCAACTGCGCTTTGCTTTCCTCAACCCGCTTCCATTTTGTTTCCAAATCTGCCCTCTCAGAGTCCAGCCGTCTAACCTGCTCCTGCAATGCCGCATTTTCCTGCCCCACAAACTCCAACTCTGTCTGTTTTTCTTGCAGCTTGGCGTTCTGCTCCTCCAGGATCCGAATCTGGGCCTTTAAGTTTGCTGCATGCTTTGCTTGTGCTGCGTACTGGTTGTTGATGGCGTGCAAAGCCATCTCCCGCTGCTCTACGTTTCCCGTCAGAGCGTCCATTTGTTGTGCCACTTGAACGTGTTGCGATTTTAACCTGTCAATTTCCACCGTTAGCTTAGCCACGTTGCCCTGATGTGATGCTAATGCCTGATCCTTTTCTTTTACCATCTTAGCACTTGCTTTTTTAGAGGTTTCCAGCTGCTGAGAGACCTCTGATAACTCGCCTTTAAGCCTTTCTATTTCACTTAGGCCCATTTGATGTTCTCTTGCTCCTTCTTCCAGTAACTGCTGCAAACTTAAAACCATCTCCTCTTTTTGCGCGAGTAAATTTTTTACGTCTTGCAGCTCCTCTAAGTGCGTGGCATATTTTTCTCGCAGGTTTTTGAAGGCACTGTGGGTTTCTTCTGTTTCTTTTCTCAAACCACTGCATTCCTCTTGCAGCTTTGACACTAACTCTGTGCTTTCTGTGAATTGGGATCTGTACATCACGGCCTCGCCTTCTCTGCTTTGCAAAGTGTTAATAGTTTTCGATTGCTCAAGTACAACCATTTCCTTTTCTTCCAAGGCCTCTTGCGTTTGGGAGATTTGAGCTTGAAGCTTTGAAGTTGCCTCCTCTAAACTTGAAACCCTTTCTTTCAAGCTCTCACATTCAGCGGTTTTGTTTTGTAGATTTAAACTGAGATTTTCTACAGCAGCGGACGATGCATTTTCCAGTTGAAGAGCCGACTGCTCCTTAGTTTCCAGAGCAGTTCTCAGGACCTCAGACTCCGACACAAGACCCTCAACCTTCATTTGAAATTCCCCAATTGATTTTTTGAGCACAAAAACTTGCTGCACCAACTTTTCATTCTCACTTGTTTTCTGCTTCAGCTCAAGTTCACGTTCGCCAAGTTTATGATTGACAGTTTGGATTAAATCTTGCTGTTGTTTTGTCATATTCTCATGATCCTGCTCCGTAACACTCAGCCTCTCTCGTTCCACTTTCAGCTCATCCAACAAAGACGCCATTTTGGATTCTCCTTCTCGCACCGCGGCTTTAAAATTCTCTACATCTCCCTTCAGAGTTTCCAATTCAGTCACATTTTTGACAAGTTCTTTCTTCAAGGTAGAATTTTGCTCCTTTAGAATCTGAATGCCGTCTTCCAAATCTACTATTGTAGCGTTGCTTTGCTCCACATGTCGAGCCAACTGAGCCTTTTCAGAGGTCAGCTGATCCACATCTGCTTTAAATCTGCTCAGTTCAGATTCCAACTCGTTATTAGCAGCTAGCTGAGTGCTCAAAGCCAAAACCGTCTCGTTCCTCTTGTTTAATTCCTCTTTGTGGCTTTTAAGTTCCTTGTTTGCTTCAGTCAGATTCTGTTCTTTCTGCTCCAGATCTTGTGTCTTTTTCTGTCCGTCTTCTCGAAGGAAATCCACGTCTCGTCTCAGCGCGGACAGAGCTTCATTTTTCTGCATGATTTCATTAATTTTCTGGGTTAGCATAGCGTCTTTCTCCATTAGCGCTGCCTTTAGCACACCGCCTTGTTCTTGGAGCATAGAAACGGTGTCTTGGAGCTGCAGCTGTCGGTGGTTGGAGTCGGACAGAGCCGTGTTCAACCGCTCAGTTTCAGCTTTCAGTTTGTCGGTCTCACTTTGCAAACTCCCAACACGGTCCTCTTTCTCTCTGAGCAGCCGCACACATTCACTCGTCTTTTCAGAATTCAACATTTCGTTTTCATTCAGGGCTCTGTTCAGCTGCGTGATGGTCAGAGTGATACTTTCTTTTTCCTTCACCAATCCTTCCACGACCGCTTTGTCGCTCAGAATCTGATCACGTAAAGACTGTTTCTCTAGATTAAGCGCATTAATCTCCAGTGTCTTTCGCTCCAACTCTTCTTCTAGGCTTCTAACTTGAGCACGTAACTGGTTTTGGAACTCAAGGCCTTGGGAAAGCTCCAGGTTTTTGGATTCCATTTCTTTCTGCAAACTTTCCATCTCCTCTTGTCTCGATGCAAGCTGTGATTCCAGTGAAACAGTCTGGACTTGGAGAGACTGTGCTAAGCTAGTGGCCTTGTCCAACTCTTCTTTCTGCTCATCAAAAGCGTGGCTCAAGCTTTTCCATTTCCTTTCACTTTCTTCTATTTGTTCATGCAGTTTTGCGTTTTCAAAGTTGAGCGCTTCTACGTCACCTTCAAGCTTCGACTCTAACCTCAAACATTCAGCTTTATTTTCTTCCAACACGACTTCTTTTTGGGATAATTCTGATTTCAAAATGGCTTCTTGTTGCTCCATCCTGGAAAAAGCTTCTCCAAGTTGCTTTTCACGAAGTTGCAGTTCGTCAAAATTAGTTCTGAGTTCACAAATGCAGCCATCTTTTTCTGATAATTCTCGCTCGAGATTTTTAACCTTAAAACCCAAACCGTCTGCAGTTTGCCGTAGTTTTTCCATCTCCTCGGTCTTCTCTCTCAGGACCTGACTGAGGTTTGTACATTCGTTAGTTTTGAACAGTAACATTTCAGAATTGGAGTGAGTGCTTTGCTCCAAAACCTTTTTTAATTCATCCATTTGAATTTTAAGATCATTGTTTTCCTTTAGCAGCTTTTCAACAGTTGATGTGTTTTCTGAATACGCTGCGTCTACTTCTCTGATCTTGGCATTTAAATCACTAATGTCGTTATTTAGCTCAGATATTCTGCCAAGATGTTCAGAAATGTCCTTTTCCAATTGTGACTTTTCCTCTTTGAGAGCCTGAACTTCTTGATTCAAATCTGTCTTTTCTGACTCGAACCCTTGAGTCAAACTCGTCATCTTTTCCTGCAGTTGATCCTTTCCCACCTTTAAGTTTTTCAAAGCGTTCTTTAACTTGGACACATTTTCCACTTTACTTTGCAGCTCACTCTTCAGCCTGTGGTTTTCCGAATCTCGTTCTTGCAGTTCTAGTTTAGACCGTGCAGTTTCCTCTTCCAACCTTCGCTCTGCATCCTTGACGTCCTCAGTGAGTTTGTGTATTTCCGTGCGTAGCTGGTCCACGTCTGTGAGCAGCCGGTTCTTTTCCTCTTTGTAAACCTTCATCTCCTCCTCCCACAGCCGCTCTTTGTTCTGCAGCTCTCCCCGACTGGAATCCAACTGTGAGATCCTGTGTTTTGCCTCCTGCAGCTCAGAGTTTGCGGAGGATAATTTCTCCTTTAGCGACTCCAGCTGCGCCTCTCTCTCGGACACATAGCTCTTGTGACCGCTCGCTTGTCTTTGCACCTCCAATCTCAAATCTAGAATCAGTTTCTTATCCGTGCCGGCTTGTTTCACCAATATCTCCACTTCCTTCAGATTCGTGTCTCTCTCTTCTTTGGCTTTGGCCAGTTCCGAGTCCAGATCTTTTGTCTTCTCTATCATGTCTGAGATCCGAGCGTTCAGATCTTGCTGGTCTGAGGTTTGCGAGTCGCGCAGGACCGTGACGTCGCGCTCTGCCTTTTGCAACGCACTTTCTGCTCGCACCAAAGTCTCCTCCTTCAGTTTGATTTCCTGTTTGAGCTGAAGGACCTGGTCTGCGTACTCCGTGACGAGGGCACTCAGACTGCACAGCTCCTTGTCACGGTCACACAGAGCGTCTTTGAGCTGGTCCATGTGGCGCTCGCAGCTCTGCAGGTCCTGGATCAGCTGAGCGCGCTCCTCCAAGTGCAACGAGTTGATCTTGTCCAGTTCTTCATTGGTTTGGTCCAGTTCAGTTTGGAGGGATTCGATGGTGGACTCTTGTTTTTGAGCCTGTAGGAAAAACACACACAGCAGAGATTTAGATACGACCATGAGGTTTAATGTGAAAATAAATATAAGATTCATATAATCTTGTGTAAAGTAAATGGTAAGAATATATTTAGTGGCACACACAAAACAGGGCAGAGGGAGAGAGAGGGCCCCAGAGGGAGGGGGCCTCAGAGGTACAAGGCTGTTATGTAACTTGTTTGATTGATGAAAAGGGAGACATTACGAACATATAAATAATAGTAGTAAAAGTGACTCCTGGATTTGTAATGACAACATGATGAGTTGGACAGAGACAGAGCAGCACCTTCTCCTTCAGAGCAGTCAGTTTTTGGGACAGATCTCCCACTTCACTCTTCAGCTCAGAGCAACACTTCTCAGACGACCTGCATCTCACCGACACCTCCTCCAACTGCAGACAGAGGACGCTTAATACACAGACACAAAGAAAAATACACCTGGTCTCTCTGGTGTCTCTCTGGTGTCTCTCTGGTGTCTCTCTGGTGTCTCTCTGGTGTCTCTCTGGTGTCTCTCTGGTGTCTCTCTGGTGTCTCTCACCTTGCTATCGGTCTGCATCAGTCTCACGCTGGTCTCCCTCTCTGATCTCTCCCTCTCTGGTCTCTCCCTCTGGTCTCTCTCTCTCTGGTCTCTCTCTCTCTCTGGTCTCTCTCTCTCTCTGGTCTCTCTCGCTGGTCCCTCTCTCTGGTCTCTCTCTCTGGTCTGTCTCTCTCTCTCTCTGGTCTCTCTCTCTCTCTCTCTGGTCTCTCTCTCTCTCTCTCTGGTCTCTCTCTCTCTCTGGTCTCTCTCTCTCTCTGGTCTCTCTCGCTGGTCCCTCTCTCTGGTCTCTCTCACCTTGCTCTCAGTCTCCAGCAGTCTCTCGCTGGTCTCTCTGGTCTGGTCCTCCTTCAGCTTCAGAGCCTCCCTCAGTCCGTTCACCACCTCCAGTTTCTCCGAGGTCTCGGCCAAAGAGTTCTCCTTCTCCAGGAGTGAAGACTCCAGACTCTCCTGCGTCTCACTCAGGCTGCGGACAAGAGGACCGCAGGTCAGAGGGGCTTTAGGACCAGGGGGGAGGAGGGGGAGAGCAGGGGGAGAGCAGGGGAAGAGCAGGGGAAGAGCAGAGGGAGAGCAGAGGTAGAGCAGAGGGAGAGCAGGAGGAGAGCAGGAGGAGAGCAGAGGGAGAGCAGAGGGAGAGCAGGAGGAGAGCAGAGGGAGAGCAGAGGGAGAGCAGAAGGAGAGCAGAGGTAGAGCAGGGGGAGAGCAGGGGGAGAGCAGAGGGAGAGCAGAGGTAGAGCAGAGGTAGAGCAGAGGTAGAGCAGGAGGAGAGCAGAGGGAGAGCAGAGGGAGAGCAGAGGGAGAGCAGAGGTAGAGCAGAGGGAGAGCAGAGGTAGAGCAGAGGTAGAGCATAGGTAGAGCAGGAGGAGAGCAGGGGGAGAGCAGGGGGAGAGCAGGAGGAGAGCAGAGGTAGAGCAGAGGTAGAGCATAGGTAGAGCAGGAGGAGAGCAGAGGGAGAGCAGAGGGAGAGCAGGGGGAGAGCAGGGGGAGAGCAGGGGGAGAGCAGAGGGAGAGCAGAGGTAGAGCAGGAGGAGAGCAGAGGGAGAGCAGAGGTAGAGCATAGGTAGAGCAGGGGGAGAGCAGAGGTAGAGCAGAGGAGAGCAGAGGGAGAGCAGAGGTAGAGCAGGGGGAGAGCAGGGGGAGAGCAGGGGGAGAGCAGAGGTAGAGCAGAGGTAGAGCATAGGTAGAGCAGGAGGAGAGCAGAGGGAGAGCAGAGGGAGAGCAGAGGGAGAGCAGAGGGAGAGCAGGGGGAGAGCAGGGGGAGAGCAGGGGGAGAGCAGAGGTAGAGCAGGGGGAGAGCAGGGGGAGAGCAGGGGGAGAGCAGAGGGAGAGCAGGGGGAGAGCAGAGGGAGAGCAGAGGTAGAGCAGGAGGAGAGCAGAGGGAGAGCAGAGGTAGAGCAGAGGTAGAGCATAGGTAGAGCAGGGGGAGAGCAGAGGTAGAGCAGAGGAGAGCAGAGGGAGAGCAGAGGGAGAGCAGAGGTAGAGCAGGGGGAGAGCAGGGGGAGAGCAGGGGGAGAGCAGAGGGAGAGCAGAGGGAGAGCAGGGGGAGAGCAGAGGGAGAGCAGAGGGAGAGCAGGGGGAGAGCAGAGGGAGAGTAGCAGGCTCTGAGGATTTCAGAGGGAAGGACGAGTGAGAAAACCGGAGACCAGAGTGAGAGAGAGACCTGAGAGAGACAGCATAGGGTGAAAGACACGTGGGAGAGAGACCTGAGAGAGACAGTGGAAGGTGAAAGACTAATGAGAGAGAGATCATCTCGAGAGAGAGAGAGAGAATTGAGAGAGAGCCAGGATAGATCAGAGAAAATGACCAGAGAGAGAGACCAGGATAGACTAGAGAGAATGACCAGAGAGAATGACCAGAGAGAGAGACCAGGATAGACTAGAGAGAATAGCCAGAGAGAGACCAGAGTCTGAGTAGTGAAGAGCAGAGTAAACTAAGCTGAAACAGAGAGAGAGACAGAGATAGAGACAGAGAGAGAGAGCGTTACCCTCTGAGCTGCAGGTTGAGGCTGGACACCAGGAGCTGATGTTTCTCTGCCTCTCGGCTCTGTTGGCCTCTGACGTTGGCCAGTTGACCTTGCAGCCGTTCAGTTTCATTCTGTCACAACAAAAGGACATATTTAGAACCATTTGAACCAAAACACAGCATCACACACAGAGTTAGGAGGTCCCACTGTGCTCTTATCCACCTGTCTGCTCAAACCTGTCTCTGCTCACACCTGTCTGTCTGCTCACACCTGTCTCTGCTCAGACCTGTCTGTCTCTGCTCAAACCTGTCTCTGTCTGTCTGCTCACACCTGTCTGTGTCTCTGCTCACACCTGTCTCTGTCTCTGCTCACACCTGTCTCTGTCTCTGCTCACACCTGTGTCTGTCTGTCTGCTCACACCTGTGTCTGTCTGTCTGCTCACACCTGTGTCTGTCCGTCTGCTCTCTGCTCACACCTGTGTCTGTCTGTCTGCTCACACCTGTGTCTGTCCGTCGGCTCTCTGCTCACACCTGTGTCTGTCTGTCTGCTCACACCTGTGTCTGTCCGTCTGCTCTCTGCTCACACCTGTGTCTGTCCGTCTGCTCTCTGCTCACACCTGTGTCTGTCTGTCTGCTCACACCTGTGTCTGTCTGTCTGCTCACACCTGTGTCTGTCTGTCTGCTCACACCTGTGTCTGTCTGTCTGCTCACACCTGTGTCTGTCTGTCTGCTCACACCTGTCTCTGTCTCTGCTCACACCTGTCTCTGTCTCTGCTCACACCTGTCTGTCTGCTCAGACCTGTCTGTCTGCTCACACCTGTCTCTCTCTCTGCTCAGACCTGTGTCTGTCTGCTCACACCTGTCTCTGTCCGTCTGCTCTCTGCTCACACCTGTGTCTGTCTGTCTGCTCACACCTGTCTCTGGTCACACCTGTCTCTGTCTGTCTGCTCACACCTGTCTCTGTCTGTCTGCTCACACCTGTCTCCGTCTGTCTGCTCACACCTGTCTCCGTCTGTCTGCTCACAGCTGTCTCTGTCTGTCTGCTCACACCTGTCTCCGTCTGTCTGCTCACACCTGTCTCTGTCTGTCTGCTCACACCTGTCTCCGTCTGTCTGCTCACACCTGTCTCCGTCTGTCTGCTCACACCTGTCTCTGTTCACACCTGTCTCTGTCTCTGCTCAAACTGATTTTTTAAACTTGTGGAAGACACAAACGATGGTGAAAGTATGAATTTGTTTGTTTCTTCTTTTTCTCTTGGACGGAAATGTTAGGATCTGCTCATCTGGGTCTGAGGAAATAAGTTTTATTCCTAGAGAGCAGAGAGAGACCAGAGAGAGACCAGAGAGAGACCAGAGAGAGAGACCAGAGAGAGAGACCAGAGAGAGAGACCAAAGAGAGACCAGAGAGAGACCAGAGAGAGACCAGAGAGAGAGACCAGAGAGAGAGACCAGAGAGAGAGACCAAAGAGAGACCAGAGAGAGACCAGAGAGAGACCAGAGAGAGAGACCAGAGAGAGACCAGAGAGAGAGACCAGAGAGAGACCAGAGAGAGACCAGAGAGAGACCAGAGAGAGAGACCAGAGAGAGACCAGACTATAATAGATAAATAGAAAACAACTTATATGAAAAGAAATGAGAGTGAAAAATGATTTTGAATCATTCATAATCTCTGGAATAAAAACCCTACATTTCTGTGTAAACTCATGCACTGCTGTATTTAAACCACTAGAGGGCACTACAAGATGAGAGAGAGAGACCAGAGAGAGAGATGTGGTGACAGTTTTTGGAGTAATTACATAAAACCAGCCGCAGCTAATACACGGACGTCAAAGGCCTTTTATCAAGGCAGAGACGACCTTCTGACGCCATGCTGAGCTTTGTGAGGGCCCCTGCTGTCTGTCACACCCTTGTGTCTTTCGTATCTTGAATCTGTATGCCTGCTTCTATCCATATGTCCCTGCTGCCAGGAAGGAGCCGGGCCCCCCCCGACACCTACAGACAATGGCGATCACTCTTGCCCCCTTTCACCTCTTGCATATGTATCGGTCTGTATGTGTGCACTTTCTACATCCTGCAGTCTGTTTGCATCCCTATGCGCCTCCTGCACCGGTGGCCCCCTCCCATCTGTTGTGGGCGGGACTGGCTTTCGTGTGTGTCTTGTAATACAGGAAACTCGGGGCTCTGGGCTCAGAGCTGGTACATGCTGCCTTTGTGTGTATGTGCTGGCTCTCCGCACGTGTGTTAACAATAAACTTACGCTTTTGATCAGACAAAGGACCTTTGAGTTTTCTCCTTCATGGGGTATATAATTCTACAACAATTTGGCGTTGCTGACATGTCTTGGCATGGATACTTTCGGCGGGGACGAGCGGCTTTGTTTGGCCGACCTGGATCACCAGCCTCTGTTCCTTTTTGGAGACAAAGGAGGGCGCGCTCGTCCCGCGCACGGAAGGAATCCTTTTGCCACACAAGACCAAAAAGAACCTAATCTGGTGAGTCTTGTCTTTTCATCTGCGTAACGAGCCCAGGGCAGCCCTTAAGTCGACACGGGGATTTGTTTATTTATGTATTTTTGGGGTATTTTATGCATTGCCACAGCATAGACTGTGTGCGGGATTTTTGGGGGCTTTTGTTCTAGATTGAAGCTAGCGGCTGCGCGTTAGTATCGCTCTGTAAGCGACCCTGGAATCTCTGAGTGTCTTCAGCCAGAACCGCTCCGTTTTCAAGAACGCGCGCTCGCTGGTTGAACCAGCGGGGGGGGGAACGGAGCGCCCCAAAGTGGGTAAGAGCAGGGAGAGACTAAGCGGGTTAGGCCCATTGTTCTGTACGAGAAAATGGGAAAGAGATGCCATACCGAGGGGAATGTTAACGTCCCCCGTTACAATGGCCATGAGAAAACAGTTCGGACCTAAAAGCTATGGAGGCTCTATGTCTCTGAATCAATTACGCATTTTGCGTGATAATTTAGAAGAAGAAGGGAAGAAAAAAATATACTTGGTTTTAAGAATATCACGGCAAAAGACGTTAGAGAAAGAAATATGTAAAACAATAGCTCCTCCGCTTTTCACCGAAGCGGAGAACACACAGGCGGACACACACACACACATCCCCCACACCCCCACCCTACCGCCCTCTCTCACCTACTAACCCTTTCACACTAGGAGCAGAACTCCATGCTAAGTACGCGCCCAAACAAGGCGTTGGGTTTTTAAAAAATGAAGCAGACTACTGTTGTCTCTTTTCCCCCTCCCTATCCAGGTCTGTCGGCGCCTTTCCTCCGCGCTCTGTCCTCTGCCTCAAAGCACCAGCCCCACGCCCCAACCACAGGCGGCGCCCGCACCAGCTGAGACCCCGCGAGAAGTGGGCCCAAACCGCAGAAGAAGAAGAGGCGGAAACAGACACACGCTCAGGAAACCACAGAAGAAGAAGCGGGGGAAGCAAATATGTGAGACACCGACAACTGCTTTGGAGCACAGAGAGAAACTGCTCCAAATCCCGTGACTGTTCTCCACGGAGGGGGCAGCGTGATATACCAAACGCACCCGCGGAAACCCCCTTGAAAGTTGTTCCCGCACCGCAAACAGAAGAAGCCATTGTGACCGGCACGTTTGGGTTATTCACCAACCCTCATGGACCACATGCTAACGCTTTGGGCTACCTGGGCCTCCTGCGGACTTTGAAAAACTTCCACAGCCCGGCGGAAAGACTGTGTGCTCGACATGGGTCGAAGGACTGTTACCGGAGGAGGCGTTAAAGGCAGAGGCTCACACGAGGCCAGAGGACGGCAGAGGCGGGCGTGGAGGAAACACGAGCGACTGACCAAACCCGGGTTCACATTCGTCACCAAAGCGGCCGCTCATGTAAGTTTGAACAAGAACAAATTGCAATTGGCACTTTTTAGAGATAATTCATGCTGAATTCCCGTAATATACGCTAACAATCTGTGGTGTAACAGTTAAAATTCTGGATGATTACAACAAATCCTGTGTTTAAAAACAAAACATAAGGTGACAGATTTTGGTCCGTTCTCAAGTGAGTGGTCGCTTCACAAAACTCATGGCTTCAGTTAGGGCTGGGCAATTAATCGATTTTAATCATTAATTCGAGTTTTACATTTAGGGCGATTTCTTTTCTTTTAAAATTCGATTTTTTATTTTCTCCATCGCAGAACTACAGCGCTAACGCGCTAACCGCGGGTCTATGGTGTTGAACAGTCATTTTGAAGCTAACCTAATGCTAACAGGCTCCCTCTGGCCTGATGCGCGCTCTCACAGTTGGTGCTGTTGCAATAACACTTCAAACGGTCAAGAATCAGACTTTATTTAAATCGCCAGAACACACACTCGTGTCCCACTGAGCCGCTGCACTTTGGGGAAAGACACGTCTCTCATTGCTCTGATACAAACAACGTGTTCCCCGCTAGCTGTTAGCTACAGTAGCTGCTACAGTAGCTGTTAGCTACAGCATCAGAATGTAAACAGGAAGCTCGCACAATGCGGGAGCCACTGAAGTTAGTATTAGCGCCACCAGCTGGACCGAGCGTTGTACTACAGCACAGTTACTCAGGCACAGTTGGAAGAACAAGCATGAAAACCCGAGGAGGCTTTTGGAACAGACTGTCTGTTACAACATTTCTATTTTGAGTAATCAGTTTTAAAAATGTGATATTTCATGTAAATAATGCATGTGTTTAATAGGATTGATATATTTGCGATGGGCCTTGTTTGTGTGATTTAAGTTATTTGAAAGGTGCATAGTGTCATTGTAAGTGAAGTTTTATAAAACCGTTAAGCTACATTTTCGTAACAAGAGCTCATTAGAGATATAGGGGACACCATTTGTGATAAGCCCGACTACAGACCACGTGGTAAACACTAAAGTTGGAAATGGATTTCTTTTTTTTAGGAAAAATCTCTTAAAAAGCTTTGCATGTTCTGCAGGCTCTGAAAGTTGCAACAATATAAATAGCTCATGAGACAATTGTAATTGGACATGGAAAATATAACAAAGCTAAAATTACAGGCCTTCTGTGTGTGTTACATGTTTGTGTGTTATATGTTTTGTGTATGTTATATGTTTGTGTGTCATGTCAAAGTACACTACGTTGACCTTAACAAACTCTGGACCAATAC